CTCCCTGACCCTCAAATATGTATGCATATATCTTAAATAATAATTTAAAAGAAAGAATGTAAAAGTTGATATTTTTTTATAAAACTATTCATCATAATTTATAGATTTTTGGGAAAATAAATTTATAAATATATAAAATGAACCAAAAATGTTTTTTAATAAATAGAATATAAGCCAAAGATAAGTCTTAAGACAGAAGTGAAATGAATAATAGATGCATAAAATTACTAAATAATATAATATATCAAATATAATTTTTTATAAAGTGAGTAATTTTAATTTATTAATTTTAATAAGAGTAAAATATAATTTTAAAACTATTGATAAAATCAAATCATAAATTAAAAAAATATTAAAGCACAATACAAACAGTGGAATATTATATGTCGTAGATTTACAATATATCTAATTATCAAATGACAATCAAGTAATTTTTACCAATATAGCGAATAATATATTTTACAGAAAACTATAAAATATTGATAAGGACATCAGATAATATCTTTTGAAGACATTGTGGGATGAATAATATGAAGATTAAATTAAAATATCATTTTTACTTAAATAAATAGATGGCTTTAAATAATTGAATGCAAATTGTTGCTATATTTAATATCAAGAGCATTGATTAGTAAAATATGTTAAATTATTAACTATAATATATTCTCTAACTGACAAATATGTCTGTAAAAGTGGAATTTTACCTAGTATTTTATAACTAATTCTATATAATAGAGTAAAATCAACTATATGTCTACTTACTTTTTATAAATAAATTACTTATAATTGTTTGAAATAAATTATTACCATGCTTTTATATTAAGGTATATACAATACAAGTAATTTATTATATTTTTATTTTGTATATGCTTTTCTAACTAATTAATTTTCAACGTTTTTCCGTATCCTACTAATTACTTTAAATTTTTTATTCCGTACCTTACGCCTTGGCCACCACTTTTATGTTTATAATGTAGAATTAAATAGTAAATTTCCCTTTTAATAGATCATTTTATTAATATTGGTTTAACTTACCACGTGTTCGGGACGAAATGTTTTTTTGTTATATACATATAAATTAAATAAGAATCTAATATTATTCTAGAATAAAAAAATCTTAAATATTATATTTACGTGTTACATATCTTATATATTTCGAAAAAATTTTAAACACTTTTACAAAATGAATAAATAATATAAATAGAAGAATGACTATGCATGATAATCAAAAAACAATATTTGTCCATAAAATATATGAATGAAATGACAAAATTAGTGATCTAAAAAAAAGGAATATACATCATAAATTTTTCATTAAGTTGTATCCAAAACATCAAAAAATTAAATTCTCACTTTTGAAATTTAATAAAAACAAATAAATAGGCATTTTAAATATAAAAGCATGTACAAATAATAATTCTAGAAAATTTTATAATTCAAAATTATAATATAGGATTTTATAATGTTAAATTTCAAAAGTTTTGAAACTTTTCGAATTTCATAGCCTTACCATTCACATTTAGCACAAATTTTCGGGTGGAGATTACAAAAATCCAGTCTATTTTGTATAATTCGCCGCAAATTTGCACAAATTATGAATGAAGTATAGGAGTATCTTAACGATTTCATTATTGTATTAATCTAATAATAAAAAAATGGTTCGTAATATCCCAATTTATTATTTATTTCAAAGTAGATTGATTAATCCTTACAACCTGTCTATTAATAAATATCAAATTTCTATTTAAAATAATTTTTTTAAAATATTACTATCATAGTGTTGTTAGATCGATTCAATCCTAACCATAGGCGTAGCCAAGATTTCCCAAGGGGGGGTGGAATTAAAAAATTACTGGGGGTTTCGTCCCCAGACCCCTTTTTGGGCGGGACTTCGGCCTGGTTACCTTAGTCTATATATAGCTATAAAATATTTTTACAAGATAGGAGATTAGCTTTAATAAAAAATAAATAAACCTGGAACAAATATGAAATTAATTTTCATTAGTTTATATAAAATATAATAAATAACTTGTATATACATTAATATAAAAGCATGGTAATAATTTATTCCAAACAAGTATATGAAATTTATTTATAAAAAGTAAATACACATATAATTGATATTCCTCTATTATATAAAATTAGTTACAAAATACTAGGTAAAATTCCACTTTTACAGACATATTTGACAGTTAGAGAATATATTGCAGTTAATATTTTAACAAATTTTTCTAATCAATGCTCTTGATAATAAATATAGCAACGCATTCAATTATTTAACGCCATCTATTTATTCTATAAAATGATATTAAAAATTAATCTTCATATTATTCATCCCACGTTTAAAAGATATTTTCTGATCTGTAAAATATATAATTCGCTATATTGGTAATAATTACTTAATTGTCATATGATGATTGATAAAATTATATATACTGTAGTAAATCTACGACATATAATATTCCACTGTTTGTATTGTGCTTTAATTTTATTTTATTTATGATTTAATATTTATATTTTACTTTTATTATGATAAATAAATTAAAATTACTCACTTTATAAAAATTATATTTGATATAGTATATTTATTAGTAATTTTATGGATCTATTATTAATAATTATAATACATTTCACTTTTGTCTTAAGACTTATCTTTGGCTTATATTCGAATTCTTAGAAAACATTTTTGGTTCACTTTTTTATATATAAATGCTCTTTTCCAAAAATGTATAAATTATGATGAATAGTTTTATAAATAAATATCAACTTTTACATTCTCTATTTCAAATTATTATTTAAAATATATGCAAACATTTTTGGGGGTCCAGGAGTGGGAGGAAGACTAAGGGGGATATTTTCTATTAGCTTAAAATGATAATCACAAAAAGTGATAAATTTCTGAAGGGGTTGGAAATCCCCTTCCCCCCCGGCTACGCCTATGATTCTAATAATTGTAAAAATTCGCAAAGCTTTGAGAAGTAGTTAGTTTTTATTATAAGATTGAGCTATCTTTTAAGCTTAAACCTCGATGGACGCTAAGATGATAATTTTCGCTTAAAAATTCTGTTTAATCTTTTTAAAGTCGGTTCATAACTTGCTAAAAATGGAGCTATTTTTTATCAATATTTGTGGTGAACTCACTCTATATGTAAATAAAGCAGAGGTGAAATTTTTTATGAAGGTTGCAAATTGTAAAATAATAGAAAATTGATGTATAAAATATTAATGAGTCAATAATATATATTTCATAGAATACTTCAGCGTCCACATGAGTTTGAGGGGGGAGGGGTAAGAACAGTTTGAATCCAATATTTGTGAAGGGTAGGGGGTAGGCGTCTTTAAGGGGGTTTGGATAAATTTATAGATCTATTAAATTTTTATAGGAAATAGGGCAAAATCTATTGTTGTAAAAATTAATATTTTTTATTATAGACCTATTATAATACAATAATATTGCTAATATTCGATCAAATCTATATATTGCGTGCAATCATGGACATTATTTTCCCAAATAAAACTTTCTGCTATCTTATTATGTAATATAAAAGGGTTAGGCATTATCAAACTCATATTCATGCTAAACATATATTCTATAATAATACATTCATTGTAAATGAGGAGGTTTTTAACTGAATTCATGATCTAAAAAAGAACTCTTTTAGATTCACAATATTTTGATATAATATTTAAGTTATTCTTTTTAAAATTTATGAAGGGAGTACCATTATAATTATAAAGGTGAAATTATTAATGTGAGAATATATCCTCCTAAAGCAGCGGTGAAAATCCAGGCATGTAGACACTGGAATACTTCAATGGAACAAGAGTCTTATAATTTCCTGTAGAGTCGGTGCCACTGAATTAGTAAAATTTTAAAACCTTTGTTCAGTATAGATGGTTATCGGGCTTGTCCTCACACAATCACATTTGTTATTAGTCATTTGGATTTAATATTTCCAAAAATATTTATCTTTATTTTTCAATATATAAAAATTGTTATAATCATAGAAACCAAAATTTTCACTATAGTTAAATATAAAATATATAATGAAAATAAAATTATGGAAAAATAAATATATAGCTCTATATTATAAAAGAGCCGTTTGGCTATAAAAAAATATTAAAATTGGGAAAAATTATTTTTGACTTTAGAAATTTTTTGATTTATATAGCAATAGTAAAAAGAAAGGGAAATTAAATTTACTTTTGAAAATGAATTATAATAGTTTGATTGGGTAGCTCAACCCCTCATCAAAATTTGGAAAGGGGACTAAAAATAAAAAATAAATTAATGGAAGAACCTAGTCCCTCTCATTAATAAAGCAAACTATAACGCAAGATGACCATAACAATAAAATTTAAAATTGTGGGTAAATTTTTCTCACGCAATATATTACATCATTATAATATTTATTGACCATCCATGGATCCTGCGAGTGCTCCTTGCTCTAGGAAAACAGAATATTTGGCTACAATAACTAAGCACCATGACGGGTTAATAACTAATTCATTTTGCCTAAGGCTAAGCCTGAGCTGATTTTTTTCTAATTTTATAGTATGAAGATTATATTTATTAAAAAATATTCTGAGAAAAATTTTAATCGGACGCTTCGCACTGAAATAATACCGCTCGTTTGAATAAAAGTTAATTATAATTTATATTAAAAAATATATATCATTGATTTATATACCCTTCTAAATGCTCTAAAAATATTTGTTCAAATATTATTTTAAGAAGACATGCATAAAAGACATGTTTGAGTAAAATCAACAAATCTTACTAAATTATAAATTGATAATAAATATCTAAAATGATTGACTGTGACCGTCTTGTAAATATTTTCAATAAAAAACGTTTATTTAAAACATACGTTCATAAAATCACATTGTGATTCCTATTTTAAAACATGAATAGTTTAGAGGTATTATAGATCAAATCTTTAAAATTTTATATTTTATTTTAGACTTTGAAATATTTTGAAAGCCTAAAAAATGATTCTAATGCACTTAATATATGCTTTCAATCAATTTTTAATTATAATTTGTAAGATTTTAAATATTTTTAAATAAAATTAATTATATTATAGAGATGATCAGTCATTGTTCCTCTATCTAAATATAATTGAGACCATTATATCAAAAAAGTAGGATTATGATTATGTTTAACTTATTAATATTATTATAGTTTTTCTGATTTGGATTCTGCAAAAAAAGAATCTATTAGAAAGTTTATTTATGATTGGATGCAGTTTTATATGGATAATAAAAATGTGGACAAAAATGTTGCAGAAAAATTTTACATTTTAAACAAATTTGCTCAATTATTTACAACTTTCTTCTTAAATGATTATATATTAGAGCAATCAAATATTTTAGATAATCTTTATATAATAATCAGTCCTTATATATCAAGCTATAATAATAGTTATCCAGCTAAATTTATCCTAAATTTATATATACGAATTTTGAAAACTTTAAATGTTGAAATTGCTGATCGAAATTTGTCTATTATCCAAAAGGTATCTATTTATTTTATAAATTTTATTTAACCTTTTTTATTATAAAACATCAAACATTTAAGTCAAAATGAGTTAAATAATAAAAAAATTATAATAATAAACAATTAGAATTGTGTAATATAATAACAATTTATAAAACATATACTTTAACACAGGCATAGTTTCAAGTTTTGTTTTTATAAAAATTAGTATATTAAATGTTCAAAATACCTTTAATTTTGTAGCCAATTCTATATGAACCGGAATGATAATTTGAGCTTAAATTTTATATAATCTATGTATATTCTATTTCCCAGTTACTCCTAAGACTTAAATTGTAAATTGTAACATTGCCAATATGACCCTTATATAATCAAAACTTACTTAATCGGGCATGGGCTTTTATCTGTACCTTTTTCCCATGGGTGTTTAAGTGAGTGGCTTTGCCACTTACACGCACAGGTAACTGCGGCCTGACCAAAAATCGTGGATGGTCCTCTGAATTATTTTCCCATTTTTTATCCCAGTTTAATGGGTTTTTTCATAAGAGAACCAAACTTTGCTCTGTTGTATATATAACTTTTGCTATATGTACGACGTTTAGGGCTATTGCGCTTAATATCACGTATCACGTAAATAAAAAATGTGATAGAGTGAAATTGCCAATGGCAAATAGGCAAGTAAAAATCAGTGTCAGATCTGCGCAAAAATAGGAATCAATTAATGCCTTATAATTTAAAGCTGATCCAAATGATTTCTATATACGTATATATTAGAGACCTGCAGAGGAACCATTTGTACGGCCCGGCCCGGTTTTAAATTTTTTAGGCCCGGCCCGGATATTTTTTAAAAAATTTTTAACGGCACGGCCCAGATTTAAAAATTTAAGCTCGGAATTTTTTAAAATTATATTAGACCTGGTATATACAAAAATTAACCTATGAGTAGTGTTGTTAAATTGCTTGGTTGGGTCGAATTAGCATGATTTTTGGTTGGGTTTTTGGTTGAAAAAATGAACCAAAACAAAACAACCAAATTGGTCGGCCTGGTCGACCAAATCCATAGACCCGAGCATCGACCCGAGCACCAATTCGAGCATCGACCCAAGCACCGATCCAAGCACTGACCCGAGCACCAACCCAAGCACCGACCCAAGCATCGACTCAAGCACAGACCCAAGCACTGACCCAAGCATCGACACAAGCACTGACCCGAGCACAGACCCGAGCATCAACCCAAGCACAGACCGAGCATCGACCCGAGCACCAACCCAAATCAACTTATAATAATTTATTGTTAATGTTTTGCTCAATTTTATGCATAGAGGACGAATATTTCAATAATAGTCTTTTAAAAAATTTTATACTTATATTCAAAATTAAAAATTAGATGGCGAGTAATTCAATTTCATATTAATTAAATAATTGATATGGAATTCGAAATAATTACCTTCTAAGACCGGTAAAAATTTATTATAGGAATTTATCGATTTTTAGATATTTATAATTCATATATCAACGAAAAATGAGGATAATTTATGTTGATTTAATTCTTGCCCTAAAGTTGTAAAAATTGGCTAAGGCTCAAACAGATTAGATATGCTGGCTCAGGAGTTGACATTAGTCACCTCAGGAGTTGACTCGTTTTAATTTTAAGCTGAAATGCATTTATTTGTTGTTTAACTCTAATTCGATAATGGATATTACAAATTAATGTATAGCCTAAAATTGCCTTCCCATCAAAATATTTAAACTTAATATAAATTTGTTAAACAACGTTATCTTTTTTGATATTCATTTTATTAATATTTGTGAATAATTTTATATTTGTCATAAGAATAAATAAAATAATTTTAATGAAATTGTTACGACTTTTGATAGTTTTGAGAAAATTTTTATGGGTAATTAAATTAAAAGTAAATAAAATATAGATTTAATCACTTGACAAACCATGATATTTTTTAAAATTCTATATTTTGATAAATTTGCTTAATCTATTTTTATAACACTTATTTTTTATGGATAAAAATAACCCCGGTCCAGTCTCCCGTATTAGATTGAAACAATCTAAGTTTTATATGATCAGATTAGCTTCTGCTTACAATTATTCCACACATAGCCCTTATAAAAACAAATTTCCAAACTTTTTAAATCGTCTAAAATTAATTAAAAACAGATAGGATGTACACACCATGAACTAGGTTTTGAAGATGATTTTTGAATACTTTTTATCAGAGTTGGCAATTCGGTCAATTGACCGTTCAATTTAAGTCAATTGACGGGAGGAGTATTTGACCTGGTTAAATACGGTCAAATATTCCAAAATATTTTAAGTGATAAAATTAATTTTAAGAAACAATCAATTCCCACCTAAAGTTAATGGAATAAACTATGCCCATTAAAGGACTAATAATTCCTAGTTATACTTTAAAGAAATAACTGTCATTATTTTGAGTCATATTCTATATTATTCACTATAAGATTTTCCTCATTATTTTCAATTTCAATATTTAAGCTAGCATTTTAATTATTTCAGCAGATATAATCTTGATGTGTAAATATATTTGGGTTTAAAGGATATATGCCACAAGCTAAGAATCCGTTTAATATATTATTTGGTGTTACTGTAAATATATATTTTAACCGTTTTACCCATAACAGCTTTACCCCAAGGTGACATATATTATAAACATCGATATTGCGTGACTTCTAGTATAGCTATAGATGTCAATTTTATTTTATAACAAATACATTAAGGAACATGTGTGCCAAATTTTGAATCCTGAGGATATGTATATTTTAGTAAAAGCAAAATATACTAGAGAATGATTTTTATATTTTTTGGGTAAAAAACAGTTTTTTGATAAAATAGATAAAACCAGGTAAGTTTTTTAAAAGATGAACATAGGTAAGAAATTAGATATAAAAATACATCTTCACACCAAATTTAAAATCTTTGTGCTCAAGGGTTAAAAATTATTCGCGTTAACATTTTTACCCCGTCAATCGCTTTACCCCGTCAATCGCTTTACCCCGGTCTCCCCTACATAGAGAAATTTTTTTAAGAGATATTTAATATCTCATGATATTTATTGCATCAAACTTTAAAATTTATTTATTAAATTCCTAGAATAAAATATAATTAAAAAATATATATAATATTAAAAGTAGGTATTATAATTTTGTTCTTAAAAATACCCCTCCCCCTCCTTCCTTGATTTAATAATTTTAAAAAAAAAAATTTTTTCTCTATCAATGAAAAAAATAACAATTCTATTTTTTGAATCCTTTTGCCGAAAAAAATTTCAGTTTTATTTTTTTAAATAACTTTCATTTTTTACTTATTTTTTGTTTTTTCCATAATAGCATAACTAACTTCCAATTCTATTCCCCTCTCTTTTTTTCCCCCAAAAATTAATTCCATAATAAAAATATTCATTTTTTGTTACAATAATTTCATTCCCAAGTCAAAATTAAAAACCCTCTCCCTCCCTCCCTCTTTTCTTTTCTTTATTTTAGTAATAATTATTTATATCCCTGTTTTATAGTAAAATAAAAAAAATAATAAATTAAAAAAAAATATATGATTTTTTAGCTAACTCTATTAATATGATTTTTTTATAAAAAATAGGGGGTAATTATTAGTTCTTACTTTCCTTTTCTTTTCTAAATTCAATCTGGGTAAAGTATTTAAAAGTGAGAAAATTTATAAATTTATTTTGATAAAAAAAATTAAACAATTTTTACTTCCTCTATATATTTAAACCTAATTTTCTACACTCTTCTGGACGATTATTCGATTTTATTTTCCTATACGTAAGTTTTGATACCTTATTTTCTTATTATTATATGGTGCATATAAGTCAAATCTACATTACCTTTTCATCTCTATTTTTATTTCCCATGGGCGTTTGAGTAAGGGGTTTTGCCTCTTACGCGCACAGGTAACCGCGGCCTTCCCAAAAAACGTGGATGGTCCTCTTAATTATTTAAGTATTTCCCATCTTCTATCCCAATTAGATGGGTTTTTCATGAGAGAACCAAGCGTTGCTCTGTTGTATATATATTTCTGATATATATGACGTTTTAGGGCTAGTGCGCTTAATATCACGTAAATTATATTAAAAAAATTTTTTTTTTTAGATAGATATCGAACTCGAAAATATTGGACTAGATTTCTTAGCTGATTACACAATCGACACCCGAAACCTCCTTTAATAATTCCTCTATCGTTAGATATAAAGGGGAGTTTTGTTAAGACTCCCACCAAAAATTATAAGAAGTGTATTCATTGCTCAAAAAAGTACAAAAATACAACTTCCACAAGTAATATTTTATTCCTATAAATTATATTTGTTAATTTTTAGCAAATTTAAAAAGACACTTGTGATTATCTCATCCTAATATAATATCAGAAACATCTATCACAACCCCTGATGTTATGCCGGGAATAAGAAATCAAGAAAATTTAAAATTAAATATGCTGATATTAAAATATCTCATCCTAACAAATATTTCATTTAGAACTATAGAACATAACAGTTTTAAAGAGATGATTCATTATTGTAACAAAGGCTTTAAAATTTGGACGAGACAAACACTAAAGAAAAAACTTTGTACATTATATGAATCGTCTAAAAAAATAATAATTAAAAAATTAACTGATATAAATAGACTAGCAATCACTACAGATTGCTAGTCTAGCCCAGATTCCATAACCTACTGCGCTGTAACTATTCATTACATCAGTAGTGAATGGACACTAACAAATTTATTACTAACCATAGTTTCTTTCCCACATCCCCATACAGGACAGCAAATTTCCGATTTGCTGTTCAATTGTTTTAATGACTTTGAAATAACGCCTAAAATAATATCAATTCATCGACATATTGATAACTTGTCCCAGAGGTTGAATAAGTTTTAAATACATTTTTAAAATCTTCAAAATAATCCTTTTGGAAATCAATATTATTGGAATTAAGGATTTTTTTATTCTTGGGTCTAAAAAAGACCCGGCAT